AAACCGTCCAGAGCGCTTCGGACCGCTCAGCGATGGAGGTGTCTATATACGGCTTATGCTGCACTCCGGGGAAAATGTAAAACGCTGCTCCAGACTTGGCAGGTGACTGAACCCGCGCTCACCATTGCTGGACTGTTCTGGAGCAAGTCAATTCCTTTACTTATCTAGGGAGTTGCATCACGGCTGGTGGCGGAGTTGGAGATGAGGTCTCACAACGGATTGCAAAGGCCCGCATTGTATTCAGCAAACTGAGACACCTATGGTGTCGTTGTGATGTCAATCTCAAGGGCAGGGTGTACAATGCTTAAGTCCGTGCAGTACTCTTGTACGGCTGTGGGACGGCCTATTTACTCGGAAGGCATGAAGCGATTGACAGTCTTCGACAATCGCTGTCTACAAGGAATTGCTAGGGTGTGGTGGCAACATCACGTAAGCAACGCAGAGGTCCGAGACCGAGTGGTTGGAGCGAGTAGTGCAAGTCTTCAGAATGTTATTCTCCGACATCGCATGCGTTGCCACGGACACGTTCTGCGCATGCCAACCCATTGCCTTCCACATCGAACAGTATTTTCACTCCCAGAGAGCGACTGGAAAAAGTGCCGCGGTGGACCGTCGATGACTTGAAGGAGCATGAATAAGGCAATATCAAGATCCGGCTTTCAGGTTAGGGAGCACGAGATGCTGAATCTGTGGTTGTAAAGATTGGATGTCATGGCCCGCAACAGACATCAGTGGCATCAACGTTGTTCTGCCATTTTATCCCCCATTAATAATCACAAAGAATCCATGAAACAAAAAAATCAAATTAGAGTGTTCAAAACCAAAAAGTCGTTTTCCATTTCGTTTATCGCATTTCGTGTTTTTAGTTCCTCCATTTTTTGTTCTGCCGTGGTTCTTATGGCGCAATGTCTGTTAACAGACTATATATATATATATATATATATATATATATATATATATATATATATATATATATATATATATATATATATATATATATATGCAGTCAAACAGAACAGCTTCAGCCAGGGTACTAAAAACAATGCCGACGCCAGCTTGACCTGCATTTGAAGCTGCGTCATCGCCTGACAAGCGAAATGAGAATGTGACGCCAGTGTCGCATGTGGGTGACCGTAGGGCAAGCACGGAGCTCGAATCTTGCAGGCGGACTTCCGAGAAACATCAAATATCGATCGAGACGGTCTCGAATATTCGAGCAAGTGTTGTCTGTTGGCCAAGCTGCAGCAAGGTGAGCACATTTAGGCATGCCAGTCTTAGCGAGCATCGAGGATTCCAAAGGGAAACGCATAAACTGACGTTGTCCGCTTGGTTGAACATGGACTTGTTGACTGGATTGGAGCGACGCTCTGCGATAGTGTGAGCTGAAACTAGAAGACAAGCGGCTATTGAAAGCAAGGTGGAAGAGGGCCAAGAATTGGGGATTGAAAACGGGGGGATGAAAATGCGCAAGAGGGGGAATAAGAAGACCGGAAGGCTTAAGCAGTAGCATCGAAACCCCTATCCACGATGCTCGATGCAGCAGATAGGGCACGGTTGGTTATCCTCTGCGGTGGCCAGAGCATCAAGAAACTGTTTGAAGAGAGATTCATTGTATTGCGTGGGCAGGAAACTGTCAGGTTGCCCAGGCCTAAACAGGAGAACGATTAGGGTTCTCAACCAAAGCCTTTGGTTCAAAAACCTTACCGCAAGGCAGCGGGGTTTTGGCATTGGACTACAGAGAACCCGTTTTATGGAGTAAGTAGCCACTATCATTCCAACCCCCAAGCTAGAGGACCAGGAGACTGAGTTTGTCTGGACTCTAACTATTGACTAATCTGGTATGAATGGCTCTGAAGGTGCAAAAATGAACTATCCAGCATAGCTTAATGGATCATTGAGGCACAAAAGCCATCGCACCACGTTAAAGTCCAGTCTCATTGCGATGGTTAGGGGATACCACCCCGAGTATTTAGCCAAACACCCTACCTGCAAGACAGAGGAGTGATTTTAGGGAATCGAACCCACTGGGATACGGTGATAGATGGCGCAGTTCATACGCCTTTCATTTGGTCGGTTGCCAAACAAGGGCTAGCGCTCCCAACATTTGCAGCAGCTGGCTGTTGAAATACAGTCTCACCAGGGTGAAGAAAGGGGCGATGACCTTAGCTAGTGATGAGTCATATCTACCAAATCAGTGTTTGACATTTGGCTTTTATGGGGAGAACGCCTGCCAGACGAAAACCCACCGCGTCCTGGAACAATGCTGCCGAACCATTCGTTGGAACGAGACAACTCCGAACCACTCAGCTTTCTATTCTGTAGGTCAGATGGTCCAGAGAAAAGCAGGGTCGGTTAAGTAAAGAAGCAGGCTCACGAGTATAACATCCAGAATCCAAAAGTGAACTCCCGAGTTCTGTGGAAAATGGCATTTATGCAGTTCTGTTGCCTAATGGTAGAGACTTAATTTGTAAAAACACGAGGTTATAAGTTCGGTTCCCAGCTCCAGCCGTCTGTGCTTAAAGAGACCCAGCAAAATGATATCGGCTTTGCACGGATGTTGAAGGTGAGGAAAACCAGAATTATCTTCACCGCGGTATCAAGCTCTTAAAGAGCACTCGGTGAAACATGAGGCACGGGTGGTCCAAGTTCAAGAAGATGGACACTGCCTACTTGTGTCAGAGGCGAAAAAAGCTCTGGATGTCATGGTGAATGTTGAGTGCTACAAGTTGACTGGACTCGGTGACAAAAGCAGTGTCAATCACTTTAGAGGCAAATGAGCTCTGGGTCAAACGATTTATCTCAACGATTGATTCATATAGCATTCCAAATAGGGCCAGAGGCAGGAAAGTCCATGACTCGCTAGCGCTGGTAGTGACGAGATCCTGACCGATCAATGACAAACTTGCCTTGTAACCTGAGGGCGCAAGTTCGAGCTTGAGTAGGAAACGGGCGACCATCGCAGTATCCTTAGTCCACGTGCGACTGGTGGTGGTTGCGCAAAAGCGAAGCCTCGGTATTGCGTGCCGGTATACTGCCGATGCCAATGCTACTCTGGTACTGCTAAAGATCCATGTTCTGGACACCTCCACGTAGGGATGGCTCGATGGGAGTACGATTGTACTCTTCTTCTAGACAAAAATGAGGACGTATCCGCATGAGTCGACTGACACATGGCGCATTTCGCGCTGCCTTTCTGGAGTGCACTTTATCGAACACGTTGGCTGAGGGCCCCAGTCGCTCTCTTGTTCAGGTGTGGACGCCATGGTATCATATCGGTACAAGCATAAACTACGAACTATATAAAAAGCGATAATCTCATAAAGTATCGATTGTCGCACATTCGGTAAAAAGGGTGGCCTTGTCTGTTGCATACAGAGGGGTAAATAAGCGAAAAAACGCAAATGCTGGCGCCTCTCTTCTGTCTGCTTTTGCTTCTTCCAATCCACATCCTCCCCTCAGTCCCCATTTCACTTGCTTCAACTAAACAGTACTACGTCAGTACTACGCCAAAGTGGCATGTATGTAGCGGACTGCAAAGTTTTGCTGTGGCACCTGAGGTGGCTCGGACACATCCGTTGTATGAAGGTCACCAAGACACCGAAGAGCCTGCCGTACGACCAACTGCGTGAAGGAAAATGAAATTCGAGCAAATCAAATCTACGATACCAGGACATGATCAGACTGAGCTTTTCCACAAAGTTAGATGCAGGAAAGCAATGGTAATGGGTCATCACTAATGTCGTGACCATATTAAAAATGTCATGGCTGAGGAAGAACCGTTGTACTAAGAAGCAAAACGTTGACTGCGCAAGCGTCAGATGCCAAGGGAATCTGGTCCGTCGACATCATGCAGTTTGTACTACAGCACATGCGGTCATACGTGCCTTAGCCGAGCCGGTTTACAAAATTATCAAGGTGGCCAGAATGGAAGAGACGATGAATAAGTTGAATGGGTAAGTGTCAGCCCATGGTAAGTTCGGTGCTACACTATCCCTGCAGTTATTGCGTACGTGAGCCTGCGTGCATATTTTATCGCATCTTAGGTGTTTTGCTTATTGATATCTCCAGTCTGACTGCGCTTGATGTGAATGTTGACAAAGTGCCTACTTGTTTAACAACCGCCATCTTAATTACTGGATCCAGGGAACTGCTAATGGTTGCTTGAGGAGACGGGGTATACGATCTTCGTGACCACTTTAGGCTCAAAGAGTGGTTCCATCCAGTGTGGAACGGGCTACGACCCAGCTACCGTCTTGTACACGTCTAGTATGGATGTACCCCCCCCTTATAATGAGTGATGTGCATGTTGAAGGAGTGTGGGCAGGCTCCGAATCAATACTGGCTACGATCCGTATGCGTCGCGGTCTTATTCCTTCGGGTTTACAGCTGGATATGGGGTAAGTGTTGATGGGGCTGTGGACTGCAGCACAACCAACTCTGTGGGCGCAGGAGTCCTGTGGCTGTTTCAGTCGCAGTGACAGGTCACTCGACAAACGGATACCGGCAGCCGTATGGGTCAGTGCCGATCGATGCTACTCGCACACTTAGCTGCTGGGTAATGGATCAAAACAAGGGTTTGATGATTACTGATTAAGACAAAAACACCGGACGGGAGAAATTATGATGTAGGCATCATGAACTCTCGATTGTTAACTACTGTAAGCGGAGTGCTAAAGTGTAGGGAAACTGAAGCAGCAATCACATTATATTCTGTTTAGAATACCCAGTGAGCATTTGGATTTGGATGCGTCGTAGCAAACATCAGTACTCATGAGCAATGGAGCAGAATCTGAGGTAGGGGATTTAAGTTCGTGCTTAGTCTTATGAACAACGCAACGCATACTTAATGTGACCAATGAAATTGTCCGTACTTCGATGACGGTGTCACAGAGAAATTACTAATGTGATACAGTCGGGTGGGGACACGAACATATGATCGACATGGGTTTAGAGTCATTTTAGCTATAATCACAACTCAGACGCTGCACGAATGGACGTACCAGTGAGCTTATCATCCTGACAGTGGTAGGCAGCCTCGAAGAGATGATCTCCAGTGCGTTCGAACTGAAAGGAAAAAGGAAAACTTGTTTGAGAGATAGGGAACATTCGCGAGTGCGAAGTATTTAGAGATGAGTGCGTCAAGCGATCCGTTGAAAACACGCACGTTAATATGAACGACGGATCAGTCCAGTGGAACAAATACGATCTGGGCACCGAAGTGCGATGGATATAGTTGTCACAATTCATGTCGCCAGAATAAAAATACATAACGGTGAGAAAATTAGAATGAATGCAAAGAGAATAGAATTAGGACAGAAGTGCGCAAAACTAAGTTGTATTAAATGGAAACTGGTACCCAGATACCAGAATGTCACCAAACTGCGCGATGCCTGATAGTCTCCAACTATTGGTGTGGACTATCCCGGGGTCTCTATCCACGAAGACGGCGCGCATTAGTCTCTCAGTCAATTTCTAATGCCTCTATGCCACGCCATGGATTGGCCACCTCGCGGTTTCGTCTAACTTGGTGCAATCACGACCATAATGCATGCGGAAAAATCCGGTCAACGGGCATACGCAGGATATCCCCTCGCCAAGGTAGGCAAGCAAAATTCAGCAAACACTCGAGTGAGGCACCAGAAGGCTTGTTGCCAAAAAGCAACTGGCTGACCTTAGTATTATTCACACGGTTGACACCCGATGTGAGTAATACCCCAAGAGCACCGGTGATCAAAGACGGCCAAATGCTTAGTATCTCCACTGCTAACTAGCCAGGTCTCTGATCCATACACTGTCCTTATCGCGGCATTATACACCCTACCTTTCACTGACAGATATACCCAATCATCTCTACAAATGGTTGAGCCTTAAATGCCACACGGGCCTTGCCGATGCGCGAAGTGACCTCCGCAATGATGTGATCAGTAAAGGTGACACAGCTACTAAGTGAACCGATCCACCACTCCCAATGACTGTTCGGTAATAGGTAGAAACGGAGGTGTGGCAGTCCAATCTTGCAATAGTACTTTGCACTTTAAAGGTGAAAAGAGCATGCCAAAGCGTGCAGCGTTATGCGTCAGTCTATCCAGTAGTGTTAGTATAGTCACTGCGTCAGACTCAAGGAGAGAAATGTCCTCCGCATATTCCAGGTTTGGCAATCGGTCGTCTAGCAGAACTTCCAGAACGGTAGTCTGGAAGAACTGAGTCATTCATGACCATTTCGATAACAAAGTTGAAGAGGAAAGGAGATATAAAACAACCCGAGAGAACTCCATTTGTTGTGGGAAATTCAGGATACAGCTTCACGTAGACCTTTGCACGGCATCGGGAATCACGGTAGAGAAACTTCAGAATGGAAAGGAGTTTCGCTGGCACGTCCTTGATGGATAGGCAGCGCCACAAGCGGGCGCGGTCAACAGAGTCGAAGCCGGCTTTCCGATCAAGGAAAAGGACCATAGTCGGTCGTGTGAATGTATATCTCTGCTCTAAAACTTGGCAAAGAGTAAATATGTGATCTATGCAACCGCAGCCAGGGCGGAAGCCAGCTTGGCTTTCAGTGATTTGGTTCTCATGGTGACCACTAAGTCGTCGAAGAATAATACTAGTGAGGTTTAGAGACAACGTAGAAAAGGCCAATGCCTCGATGATTTTCGCACAAAGTGCGCTGATCCTTCTTGAAGATGAGCACGACAGCTGACAGTCGCCAGTCTGATGGCATCACTTTACTGTCCCAAATCGTGGTAAACAGAGAAGCAAGTCCAGTCAACAAAGAGACACCTCCAGCTTCCATCGAAGGTCAACGAAAGGCGTCGGGTTTGTTTTGTTTCAGAACGGAAGGCTCATGTCGAATCTCTTCCAAGGTGGGAGGTGTGACATCAACAACCCAGGTCGGTTAAGGTAATTGGGCAGGCGGCAGTGTTGCAAGAGGCTTGTTGAACTGCTCTTCAAGATGTTTCGCCTAACGAGTCAGGCAACGCATCTAAAATGAATCAACTGTCCAACTTTCTCAGCTATTATCGCACTAAACTGAGGACTTTCTTAGACTGGTGCTCCGGATGAGCTGGAACAGCACTCGACTGCTCCCAACAGCACTTGCTTTCTCCATTTCATGGGCCATTTCTACCCACTAACATTCCCGGTGAATTCGAAGACTCCTCATAAGTTGTCGTTTCAGGGCATTAGAGATGCATTAAAACACACTAGCTAACGGAACCTAACGACCAAACTGATCGATGCCTCGGAGATCCATTCACAGTTCGAATGTCTCAAGTTGGGCGAACAATAGTCGTCAAAGAGAATTTTCGTGGCACACTTGAGACGACTCTGGTCAGCGCTCGGCTCACCAATCTCATTCATCACTAATAACTGGTGAGCCAGTTTGTTATGGTATCGATGAACCGCGAGCTGAAGTTACAAAAAGTTAGATGCTCGTTTGAAGCGGGAAAAGTGAGCGCCAGGTGTGCGCGCACTAGGGTATTTTCGAAATCCAGACACGTGCTCCATATTCTCTGACAGTCTTGGCTGATGTGTGCCATCTATAACTGATGGTCAAATAGGGTTCAGGTTATCGAGGACGAGAAATCAACCAGATCAGATGAGGATAAATAGGTAGGTGACCGGTAGGCCGCATTAGCTGTCGAATCTTTGAATATGACTGCGAAAACGTCGCATTAATCTAATATGGGAGACAACTATGAACAATGTATACGCAGTAGGATCAATAGCGCAATGCCAGGTTTTAAGAAAGCACATAGGGCAAATCAGTGCTAACTTACAGATGCTAGGCACAGGACGCTGTTCTTCGCTTTGGCCATTCCGGTACGTTGGTAGCCATAAATTTCACCCTTTGATGGATACGAGGCAAAAAGAGAAGCTGTGTACATGTTACGGAAAAAATATCGGACGGTAGGAAAAGCACTGATATTAGTTCCCTAATCGGGATCGGGTCATTTTGAAGAGGCATTGTCCATCCAATAACATGCGTCGATCATTAAGTGGAAATTCAACAGCACACTGGGACTAGGATGCAGTTCACACAATAATTATTGGTCAAGTTCGATTTAGATATACCATGGACAACAGACTGATCTCAACTCTATGAAATTGCCTTACGAAGCAAATAGCCCAGCAGTTACTGAAAAGTTGCACATCGATGGTGCTGTTGCACTCGACCGAATCCGTGCCGCAAACCTAGCTTTGTGCTTTTGTACAGAAATTCATGTGGGAGACGAATTGGCTAGTTTGAGGACTCAACAAAAGACTGCAGTGAAGGTGGGTGAAAGATGAGAGAAAAGACGGTCTCGGGAACAAACTAAGCGCGGTCGCGCAACTGCGGAAACAAAAATAAAGGAAAGGCTGTATGCACATAAGAAGAATTGATTGTTTCGGGTAATAACGCCGTTAAAAAAACGAAATCACCCATGTTGGTTGACACAGTTGAGCTAATAGCTTAGAATCCAACCAGTCAGAAGCCTGGAGAGGATATGCTAATGATCCGAATATCGTTCTGAGTAGAGACAGACTAAACAAATATTTGGTTCATTCAAATCAATCGTCTTGGAATATGATCGAGACAGGAGTGCTTAAATGCATGCTTAAAGTCCCCGATCGCGTGATTCTCAGGGATACCACGATGAAGCGGCAAACTCAAGGAGTACTCAGTTGTGGCTTAGCCGCTCCAGACATATTCGCCTTTTCACTAATTAGAGCAGAGGATCTGAGTGCAAGCTCGTTGTTCTCTGAGGTTGCTGACGATGTGTTGAGTGGGGAAAGTCACGAGTGGGCGCCAAAAATGAAAGACAGCAGAAAAAACTGCGCATGTCTTACGGTAGAAGACCAGCTGTTAGATGATGATACACAGGAAAGAAGCAGATAATCCGTCAATGAACTTTTGCGCTCAGTGATTCAGTTAAAAGGGGGACTGAGAAGCGCCTATACGAAAACTCCGTGCGTGTGCAAAATCACCTTTTGTATAATGTTAGATAGTTCTGTCTCTTTCACTTCAGATTTCATTAGCCCATAATTTCCTCCGTCAAATTTATATACGTATTTGCCTGATGAGATTTAACTAAAAGAGATCTCCTTGCAACCGTGTTTGCTGACTTTTCCGTGGGCAGTATCTACGAATCACCAGATCGTGGAAAGCGATATGTGGAAGGACAAGGGCTATCCTGTGCATTGACCATTTGGACGTCTTACACAACGCTGATTAGAGGCACTCCAGTAGTGATGAAAGAGATGCACATGGGGGATAAGCCAAAGTACAGGAATACTGAGAAGGTTATATGAAGGTATCTGCCTAGGCCGTGAGAATAGTCCGAAGAACGGTGAGAATAAGACAATCCTTGGTGAATGGATCCCAAGAAAGACAAGAATGATCGGTGATTTGGCGTTCTCATATCAGAACAATGACTGTGAATGATGCGACGGCTTGTCACATCCATTCTGATCGATTTTTATAAAGCGACCACGATGTGTGGTGAGCAGCTTAGAAACCACTTGTATACGTCAGCGGAGGCAGTTGTCTAACGCGTGCACCCTAAAGGCCAAGTGATCAAAACCACATACTATCTGTCTCACAGCATTGATCCAGTGTACAAATTGTTAACAATGAAACACTATATTTCGAACGGTCACTCCCATAGGTTCCCTCTGAAGTTGGAGGCAAGTGGTGGTACATGGGTGCGTTCATTATGACTGCTTCATAACCATATCCAAGAGGCAACTGCGCGATTGGCGATTCCTCGTGTGGCTTTTCAGGTTGTTCAGGCAGCGAAATATAATAGCAGTGGTACAATGTTGTCTTGAGACCAGTTGCTAAGTAGAGAAGGGATCAGATGTTGCGGACAGTGAACTGTGTTCAGTAACAGTCTATTCTGAAATCTCACTGGATTACTTATCAAATTTGAGTAGCTTAAATTGATAGGGCGATGTTCGTCGGGTGCCAGATCACGTGCCTCGGTGCGCTGTTTGTCGTTACTACGGTTGCTCGGATGAAACAGTAAGGTGAACGTCATATAGCGTGGTGAAACGATAAAAGCGAGCAAGTAGCTTAGGTTAGAGCACGCCGTTGTCTTGAATGAAGCCTAAGTGATTAATCACACCAGTGGCCGAGGTATCCATCAGACATGAAGCCATTGTGGCCTTCGTACTCCTCGACGCGTAAACCAGTCGATTCGACTTCCTATGCAGTATCGCTTTTCCCTTGAGCTAGTAGGCCTGACTGCACTCTTTCTCATCTTTATCTAGTTGTCAAATGTTGTTATACAGACGAGTTTTAAGGCAAATAAGTCAATCGGGCAGGTAGGTGAAGGAATGTTTCACGGTCACCGGCTCGAACTTACGTAGATGCGGCGAACTCACAGTGCCCCTAATCCGCACGTGATTAGTGATCGTTGCGCGTCGTCAAAGCGTCGGTACGACGTGTCGGTGTGCTGCTGATGTCTTTTACATACAGTATTCCGATCATGATTTACCAATTAAATAAAACCTAAGGCGGGTTCGAGTGCTCACACGGCACACCGGTGACAATTTCCGGATACATTTGGATACAACAGCCTGGTAAACATTCAGAGGACTAATAAACGCAACGGTTGCATGTATACAATAAATGCTACAGGATGCCGATGGCCATCATAGAAAAATCCAGACTCAGCATTTTATCGGTTATAAGCCTGGCTTGGTCGGCTCGGGGCACTAGATGTCCTTGAGGACGGAGAAGTAAGCCGGTAATAAAGCAAAAAAAACGTACGGACAGAGTGCAAACCATTTTGCAGTCGACGGCAGTGGCAAATATCAAACAACGAAATCGGATAGGTGCAGGCGTTGGGGAAAACTCGAAGACGCTACGTGCGAACAAGCTAATGCAGGTCCCAGTGGGAGTCTGCCGTCACAAACTTCATGTCGACTTATGAACCAGACTTTGAGTAAATAGAGACGCGGAATGCTCGAATTAAGCCTCTTCCCTGGACAGATTGGTGAGGAGTGTGGAGAGAACTTTGCTGCGTGCGCTCATATACGCCACTCGTAATTTTGCATCAGACACTATCACACTATTGACAATCATTCTCGAGCCAAATAAGTGTAATTCAGGTCATGCCAATGACCTACCACGATCAAATCGTGTGAGTAAAAAGCCTTTGCCGAGAAGGTCAACGAGGAAATGAGTTAGCATGAAAAGCTTGCGCTAACTTTCTCAATGGTAAGTAAAGGTCAGCGCTGGGTTCCAACAGTTCCGTTAAGCGACCGTGTGCCAATCCGAACATACTGATGATATTATTCTTACGAAGGTGTATCTATGAATGACTTGATGCAGAGTCGCGAATGTTTGCCAAGCGGTTGGTTACTCAATAGGGCAAAGTAGTGCCGCAAACGAAACAAGTACATGTCCGGTCCTCAGGATAACAAAACAACCAATGAAAGTAGTCTTTTGGCTGTCTCATCTAGGCAGGTGGTCAAACCTCCAAAAAGGTTAGCGTATCAGTGAGGCCTGTGTTTCGTTACAACATCCTAAGCACCTATAGCAACTGCACGTCCGTCAGTCACGGGGTAGGAATCACAATCACGTAGTACGATCAGTGTTACTGAATGGACTAGAAAAGCGGTCGCCTCGCGCCAGAAGATAAATGCCCATCATGGATCATTGGGACCATAGAAGACGAACTGGACTGAATGAACATGTTGGTAGTTAACAAGGTTGACTAAAAATGGAATCACATTGGACAAAAAATTGATATGCTTTGCCATTCATGGATTAGCAGTGGTACCATATGCCTGTTCTTGGCACAAAACAACACTCTCCTGGCCACGTGGCGCAGACAGGAGCCGGATCAAGTTAGTTCTGAGTGGAGTGATTCACTCACGAGTAGGTTTATTTCGTAACTGACAATATCGAGCAAAAGTGGAAATTATGCAGCCGGTGCTCGAAATTACACCTCGGACTCAACCCCGAATGAAAAAATCAGGCTACCGCTAGGTTGCTTACTCTGTTTGTCATGACGTCTGCTAGTAGCATGACATGCCGGACGTTCACCTCTACGCCATGGCCTTCCATAACAGCGAGTAATTCCTCAATAACAACGCGGCGGGCCGCTTCAACGCCCAGGACTTTTTCGATCTCAAGCACATTGTTACTGCGGGTCCGCTCGGGAATGATACCAGGAACACACATCACCTGAGGGGGGAGAAATGGTAGAATATAGATGAAAAGTGTGCGTCATTCAGAAACGCCAAACGTGAGCGTAAGGTTCCGTAAAGTGTCGAAGTGCAGAAGCAGCATGGACCAAAATCGGAATGGTTCAAGGATATGCGCAACGGGAAGTTGTCATAAACAGCATCAACGGTTAGTCGGAACATCGTGCGGACGCTTCGTTGCCCGCGCGACCAGCACCAATCGCGAGTGGGCTGGGGATAATATGAGGTCACCCGTACCCATGCAGACTCGAACCGATGACCTTTGGGTAACAAGACCGATACCTTGTCTCCTTGATCATCGGCCAAAGGCCTGACGGAACTCGGGATAAGAACTAATATGCGTGTAAATCAGTGCGACCAGGTTAAGCCAAGTGGTGACAATTAAACATTTGACACATTCGGAAACAAACCGAAGATCCCTTAGTCAAGGTGAGCAATTAAACTGTTTTAACAGCTATCCCCCGTCACGTGTTAGAAGTTGAAATGAACCTTTGTGTGAATATTAGTTGGGTAACCTAGCGGTCACGGTTCAGAAAGTCACTTTCAGGGGTTAAGTTCACCTAAGTAAACCCAATCAGATGAAGCATGGGTCAAATGAAACGGCAATACATTGCAAGGATACCTTTACCAGGTAAGAGCCGGTGCTCGGAATTCGTAAAAAGCTTTTGACCCCAATATTCACCCTGGGGTTCATGCATTCACACACAAACTTAAGGTTATGTGGGGGCTGAAAGCCAATACCAGTAACGTAGAACTCAGGATAATCAAGCTCCGTGGCGGCACAGAGATCGGCAGTGATGAGGCATGTCAGGAGAAACACCGTAGATTTTCGGGTATGGTGAAGCAGAATAACGGGAATGTCTGCAACGCTGTTTAGGCGCACAGCAACTAGGAAACACATTTGTGCACGCTAACGGAAAGGAACGGATAGTGCCGGATGTACAAGACTGCACGAGGCAGTGTATTTGTGTTAAACGGTTCAAGATGAATTGCATCCGTTCTTGAAATCAGACTTACTTCGCGTAACTTTGCACCTTCTACATATATTCGATGCTCACCGTCTTTGTCTTGTTGGATCACAACGCGGGCCACGCCAGGGATTCCTTTCACGACTTGATCCTCCAGTGCTTTGACTACGGTCTCCAAAGAGTTCAAATCGGCCGGATAAACGTAAACGAAGTTACGGGAATAAGTGACTCTCTAAACAGGTGTTTAAATAAAAAATGAAACGAATTGAAAGCACATAGGTATTATGAAAAAGGGATAGCAGTTGTCATCACGCGAGAAGCAATATTCCACCGGACGCAATGAAGTAATGTCACCCGAAACACAAGTTAAAGGGTTACCGGGTGGACTGGGAAGTAGCTGAAGACAGCACATTCCTACCGCTGTGTCAGATCCTAGAGCAACCCACTGTGCGCTATGAACTAAGCCTATAGCTCAGCTCCTAGAATCCAAGACCGTATTCGGACTGGTCATGCTTACTAACTTGCTAAGAACTGCGTTTTCATACCAGAAAAGTTAACAACCTATATTGCTCATGAGTAAAGAAATTTGGAAAGATTTGTTCAGGTCATCGGAATTAGAGTACAAGCCAGATAGACCAACTGCCAAGCCAGAAAGGCTCCACGCAGCAGTTTTGTCCCTTTGGGGCTCGCCACGGTGCGCATGCCCTCTCCCATGCAGGGAACCTAACCAATGACCGTCAGTGGCTTGCACCACTAGCCAGTAGCTTATACCGCTAAGCCATGAAGGGCGGTAGCTGACCAGCATATCTGAAAATCTAACCGCGGTATAGCCCGATCCATCCTCCACTGTTATTCAGAGGATAGTGGTTGGCCTTTGAGTGTCAGGACCAGTAGCCGTGAAACAACATCGAATTCTGAAGGGTGCCGATGGAATGCGCACCTATGATGGGTTCCAAGAGGACGAAACAACCATTTGGGGCTTTTCAGGACTGATAGTTAGCCAATCCGATTTATAATTTCACTGTGATGAACTAAATAAAACAAAAACTGCGTAAGTGTTTACGATGAAGTAATAAACGCCTCGCTGACAACAGCTAATGCTCACTAAAGATATAGTAAAAGCTCCGAAGTTGACTAGTTCTCAAAGATAATCGTTTTCTCATCGCCTGAACGTTTAACATGTAAATCTAACGGAACCAGACCTCTGTTGTTACAGAGCCAGCTTATGGCCAGCGTACCAGCCGAGAAACGCGGCGCAACTTTGGATCAATTTACGATTGGAGATCGAACGCAAGCAGATATGAGAACGCGAGTCAATGTGGGGTCAGCGGCAAATTGAACTCCGAATTTGAACCGTGTGAGTTGAGTTCATTAATTAGCATCTCCAATATCGACGTGTTAGTAGTTGCCTTCAACCTATTTATTGCGCCATGCTCTGACACAATACGAATCCCTCAGTCCGGCAGATATTGACGTTCGTATTTTGTTGCAGATTGAATCGGTTGGAGGCGGCATAACAGTTTCTGGCAGGCTATTTGTACAGTTATTGGAAACTACAACAGATTTCTGGCGACGGAGGTGTTGGATAATAATGGCCATTTCATTTGAGCAGATGCAGCAGCTTCTCCATCAACAGCAGCTCCAATTCGAGAAATCTCAGAAGCAATTGTTCGAGTCATTTGCGCAGAAGCTGAACGTTCAATCTGAGCCCCAAGCTGCTGGCACACGGTCTTCAGCAGATACGGTCACAACAGCAATCACAGAGTTCGTCTTCGATGAATCAAACGGAGTAACTTTTGATTCCTGGTTCAAAAAATATGAAGATATTTTGCGTGTTGAGTTGGCGGCGCAAGATGATGCATAGAAAGTTCGGTTGTTGCTGCGTAAACTCGGTGCAGTTGAGCAAGAACGCTATACCAATTTTGTGCTGCCAAAGAATCCAAGGGAGTTCCGCTTCGATGAGACTGTGCAAACTGTGACGTCCAATTTCGGTGAGCAAGCATCTTTGTTCAGTATCCGTTATAATTGTGTAAAGTTGCTCAAACGTGATAGCCATGATTTTATAACACATGCTGAAGTTGTGAACGTTTTAAACTCGATACGATGACACCTGGTCAGTTCAAAAGTCTCATATTTGTTTGTAGTCTTCAGTCTCATGCCGATGCTGATGTGCGCACACGCATCCTACACAAGTTAGAGCAGGAACCCCATTTGACATTACAGGACATTGTTGCTGAATGACAGAGACTGATTAACTTAAAGCATAATACCAAAATGATTGAAACTGTTGACCCCAGGAGTGAACCATAGATTTACCGCACGGCTGATCACTAGAGTACCCAATCAGAAACCACCGACCACATGCTGGAACGGTGGTGGATGACATTTTGTGCGATTCTGTACTTCCAAGAAGCATCTCTGTCAGAAGTGCAAACGTCTGTGTCACAAAGAATCACACTGTCGCAAAACGTACGATTCCAGGCCTGTGTCTACCCCAAAGTTGTACACGAACTCTAAATCCCAAAAAACGTCGTTTCAGGGAGCAAAGACAAAAGTAGTTCTCGCGACCGGTCGCACAGAATTTGAGAGCAAACGAAAATACCGCACCATCAAAATTAACTATGTTCCTATATCCTTGCAACTAGATACGGCATCGGATATTCCCATCATTTCTCGATCATCATGGATGAAACTTGGCAAACCTCCACTGAGGTGCACCAATCGGACTGCCCAAAATGCATCCGGCGAACCATTGAGGTTAGATGGTGAGTTCACATGTGACATTAAATTCAAAGATCTGAGCCTCCGTGGAACCATCCACTTAGTTTCTTGTGACAACGTAAATCGTCTTGGCATTGATTGGATTGATAGATTAAATTTGCTCAATGTACCACCGAATAATGTATGTTCTGAAACGAACGTTATGGTGCATCATACAGCCATACCACCACATCCGGAAACAATCGTATCGGATGACGGATCACAGTTCACATCCTATCAATTCGCTGACTTGCGCACACAATGGAATTCAACACATGTGGACTGCACCGTATCATCCCCAATCAAATGGGCAAGCAGAAAGGTATGTCGACACCCTAAAACGTGCATTGTTAAAATCGAAGAGAGAGGGAACGCTAGATGAAAGATTGGAAAGATTCTTGTTGAATTATCGAGTAACTCAGAACCCCAATGCACCAGATGGGAAGTCACCCGCTGAAGTCCTCATGGGTCGATGACTGAGAACTACCTTAGATTTGATGACCTCAAAACGCCCATCGAGACGTCGTACGAATTTAAGTATGGAAGCCCAGTACAACAGACGTTACGGAGCACGGCGCGGAAATTTCAGAGTTGGAAAGGCATTGTTTGCTACCTCTCATTGAGGGCGTCGAATAAGCTGGATGTCAGGCCAAGCCGTGGGAGGACGTGGCAAAGTAATGTACGATGTTCGCGTTGGTAGGCAAGTGTGGGTTCGCTATGCCAACCAACTGCGACCGCGGTTTGCAAGAATCCCAGAGACACGCAACCCCAAAGGATTTGATTTAAATGAATTGTCATGAAATTTGCACCCAAGCACCTCGACCGGACAAGATAGGCAACTCGTGGAACGGACTGAAAGTGAACACCGACGAAGGCCCTTGCAAGCCGACCCTTGCAGGTCGATCCCCGAAGGAAGTCCTATACAACTACCGGTATAACTATTTCAACAAGGGGGAGGTGTTCCAGAGAGCAACCTTACGGTCAGCGTACCAGCCGAGAAACGTGACGTAACATTGGATCAATTTACAATTGGAGATCGAACGCAAGCAGAGATGAGAACGCTAATCAATGTGGGATCAGCGGCAAATTGAACTCCGAACTTGAACCGTGTGAGTTGTGTGCATTAATTAGCATCTCCAATATCAATGTGTTAGTAGTTGCCTTCAACCTATTTATTGCGCATGCTCTGATACAATACGAATCCCTCAGTCCGGCAGATGTTGAGGTTCGTATTTTGTTGCAGGTTGAATCGGTTGGAGGCGGTAATGTTAATCACTTGGGCTATGACGGGTATTGTTAATTAAGCCTCTATAACTTGACCACGTGAAGGTTTACTGCGCAATGGCCGCTAAACGAGTCGTTTGTTCAAATAATAATGTGTATGCAGCGGGATTTCGCTATGAGTAAAATTGTCCTGACCCACAATCACTACATCTTACATCTCCGCAGATTTTTGATGCAGAAATAGTGATATCTGCCGGGACCTACAAATTTGGTCATACTCTACATTTTCTTTTTCAAGGAATTATTGACATTCAAGCTTTCGGCTATACTTCTCAAAACCCAATGTTTTACTCATGATTTTTTTCTACAGTCAATACCATGATAACCTAAAGCTGCGATGTTCTAAAGTCGTTAAGTGTTTTTGCGCAAGTTAACAACGATAATCAAAGTGAGAAGAAGCCACGAATACGGAATAAATGTATAAAAACAGCATAAGAGGTGGAAAGTTGCTCTGATGAAGGAAAACAAACAAACATGAGCATACCCGCTTTTCTGACCGACAACGTTCGCTCGCTCTTTGATATGGTTCCATAAAGATGTTGAGGACGCCGTTGTTGCAGCTGAAGGGTTTATTTGCTTTCGTGCTGATCGCCCATCCACCTACCGGAATCGTGGCGGCGGGAGCACAAGCTTTATTAACGTTACTTGGTGGCTCCCAGTGAAACGCCTCTCCTGCTACTCGCCACATATCGGCCGGTGGCCACGTGGCGTGCATGCCTGGCTTGCAATCATAAAGTCACCGGTTCGAATCCGCGTAGGGGCGGACGTCCTCCCGATATACTTAGCCCACGCGCGACTGGTGGTGATCGCGTGGCAGCGAAGCGAAGTTACGACGTACAGCTGGTGATTTACTCCTTTCTTTTGCTCATCACATTGTAGCAACTGCTCGATCCTAAAGTGTAAGCTAAAATACCTGGATGGGTACCGCTCAATTGTACTGGCCAATATCTACATATGCACCAGTTGTCGCAACTAAGAAACATAGAAATTCTACGATAAACTTACGGCCGCAGTTATTGGGAAAATCGACCAGTCCCGGGGCATATTTGCAGGGGATTTTAATAGATTGGACACCACATTCCTTACAACTCTTCAGCTACATAATATTGTAAAATGTTCCACCAGGTTAGAGGCAACCATCGATTTGGTATTTTCAATAATCTGCGACCGAGCAGCACTTGGCAACTC